TACTGCAAGAATCTACTATTTTTTACTCCGAGTAGATTTTTGCAGTACGGGAACAGACCAATAGTGTCTAAGATACATGTGTTGATTTGTTGATTTTTCATAGAAAACAACACAGACGAGGAAAATCGTTGTGCATCAAGTGTCCAGCAGGAACAACACACAAGACGTAAGCAGAAATCACAATGGATTGACTCTGATACGGAGTGTTGGGCAGAAATGAGGAACAATTTTTTCTTTTGTAAATTGTGCAACGTGCAGTTGAAAGCTAGTTCGGGAAAATGCGACTTACTGGCCCATTCAAAAACAAAAAAACGTTTAACCAAAAAAATATGAATTTATTTATAAATTATATGCTGCCGATTTTTTGCCGATTTTTAAAAATACAAATGCCGATTATGCCGATTTTTTTCTGAAAAATTGACGATTTTTCATAAAATTTAACTGGCAGCACTGCTATATATAAACGGAAAAAACAAAACTAATATACCCTCCATACTATGGTGGAGGGTATAAAAAATGGTTTAGTAGCCCACAATCGGAAAACCCCTCCCAGGATGAAAAAGCCACGAAAACCTAAACCTTAATGTTGACGGCCCCGCAAATGTATAAAGGACCACGATCTGCGAATCTGCACTTGGAATGTGTGCACGTTGTACAGAGCAGGCGCAGTTTTCGCTCTGGCGGATGTACTCAAAAAGTACAAAGCCGATATTATTACCTTACAGGAATGCGATGGAAAGGGACATGCGTAAGTAAGTATTATAGCTGCAATGAAACGAGACATAAATATGGCTGCGGATTTATGGTTAATAGGAGAATAAAATATCTCATCTCCACATTTACTCCAGTAGATGAGCGAATTGCTATAATCCGTATAAAAGTGAAGTTTTTCTACATCAATCTTATTTGTGCCCATGCTCCGACGGAAGAAAAGATGAACATACCAACGACATATTCTACAAGCATCTAGAAACAGCATATTAAAATTCTACTAAGAGATTTAAATCCAAAAATCGGAAGGGAAAATATTTTGGCCTCCATTAAGAAACATCCGACAACAGAATGAGGTTGATTAATTTCGCGGCAGCAAAAAACATGGTAGTGAGCAGCACCAGATTCAAGCATCTCAATATTCACAAGGCCACATGGATTTCTCCTGACCAAAAAACAAAAAATCATATTGTGATAGACGGAAGGCCATTGTTTTAGACGTTCGATCGATTCGTGGAGCGAATATCGATTCGGACCATTATCTTGTAGAAGAAGAAATTTTATCAACGAGTAAAGCACCGAACTGAAGGCTTTGCTGTAGGCACATCCTCCTGTAGAGATGAAGAAGGAAACCTGATGACAGATACAAATAGCGCGTTGAGGATCTGGAAGGAGCATTTTGCAAAGCTTCGGGTATCAAATAGTGCCGGTAAAGAGATGACGTTATATATTGTATACTACCTAGCCAAGCAATTAATCGACTGAAGAATAATGAAGCAGCAGGAGCCGATGGATTACCAGCGGAACTATTCAAGACCGGAGGTAAGACGCTGATCAGGAGCTTGCACCAACTGACTAGTACAATTTGTCTAGAGAAATGCATTCCCAATGATTGGAACCTTAGCATCCTGTGTCCGTGCACTCTAAAGGAGATAAGATAAGATATGTGCCAACTATAGAGGAATTAGTCTCCTTCCCATCACATATAAAGGGTGTGTGAACGACTGAAGCCAATCGTCAATGATATTATTGGATCTTATAAATGCGGCTTCAGAGCAGACAATACCACTATAGACCAGATTTTCGCGCTGCGCCAAATCATAGAAAAGACCCACGAAAAACATAAAATATATCGACACATTCTTACCAAGCAGAGTTGTTCTATATAGTTCAGTTGGCTGATCACTCTTTTTAGTTCAGCTCGTTTGGCTGAACTAGTTCGGTCTTCTAGTTCAGTAGTTAAATCGTTCGCAATTAAGCTCTTTTATTCAACTGTCGTTTTACTTCGGCCATTCTTTTAATAGTTCATCACTCTCCGATTTGTTCAGTTGATAGTTTGAGTTCTTGTAAGATACTTTTGGACCTATATGGCGAGGATATTAAAATGAAAAAAATAAGAACAGTTTATGGATTTTTAAATAAATGTTTCAAAAGATTTGATGCACTTATAGGGTGGAATAAAAAATGTTCGAAGAATATGTGGACCTATAAGGCTTAGTTTGTTTAAAGAAAAGTTTTAGAATAATTGAAAAATTACTTGCCAACATAAATATTTTTATTAGTGTTTACTAAATGGGAGCGTTGTAATATCACATGCAAAATAAAACTCGATCGGTGTCGCTTCCATTTAGACCAAATAGAACTATGTCAGTAAAACGCTCACGTCTGAACTAAAAGGAACGATTGTTCCAGTTCGTTCTTTTAATGAACTAAAAAGAACGAATTTGTAAGACCTACTTCAATCAGTCTGTTAAGTGAATCGTTCATTTGAACTAGTTCATTCGTGAACTGTACAACTCTATTACCAAGGCCAGTAGTTAAAGTCGGAAAGGACCTCTCGAAGTCATTCAATAATAGTATTGAAATTGGGAAAATGATAGTGTTGGCCAACAGATGCTACTATCCAAAGTAACACTCTACAAGAGGCTGATACTACTCGTGCTGTTATATGGATCGGAAGTATGGGTACTTATGCAAGCAGATGAGACAGCTCTTGGAATCTAAGAAAGAAAAATTATCCGAAAGATTTACGGACCGATCTGCGTCGACAGTGAATATCGCCGTCGAATGAACCATGAATTGTACCATATATTCTCATCATCAACATAGTCAGACGTATCGAGGAGCAGCGACAGCGCTGGCTAGGCCATGTTGTGCCCCAAAAGGCATATAAAAACGAGCCAACTGATGGTTGAAGCTGAAGAGGAAGGCGACGAATTCGATTGAAAAATTAAGTGGAAGACAACATCTCGGTACATGGTCTTTCAAATTGGAAAAACTGCGTACTAGATTGACGCGCCAGCAACAAACGTTCTGTCACAAGCCAGCTAAGTAAGTTAGTGTAAATAATGTTTAAAATAATAATTGGTCTGTTCCAGTACTTTTTTAATAGTAAAGCTAGTAAAACATGGTATAACAGAAGGTAAGTCTCAATTTAGATTAGGCGAGTTTACTTGCGGCAAGTCTTTGTTTGTAGGAGAGAGGAGCAAGGGGTATAGAAATGAAAAAAATCGCTCGTACCGACAATTTTCTGGCAATTCGTTTAGTGTATTTCGTATTTGTTGACATTTTATATATGTATATTTAAATGTGAAAAAACAACAAATAAAAAATATTTTGGAAACCGAATTGCCTTGTATAGACGCATGGAGCAAGTTCAAAAGAGAACGATAAAAATTGCCGCAAGTAAACTCGCCTAATATAAATCAGGACTAACATGAGTTGTTGTTGTACAACAAACGATACAACAACCAAGTTAAGTTACACTAGTGTCAGCACCATTTGACAGAAAAAAGTAAACAAACAAACAAATTATCGAAAAAAAATGATTTATTTGAAAAATGTAATATTTTCGAAACCTCAAAATAAAATTGAAAAACATGAATGAAAATCGATCAAATTTATATTCCTATCGCTTCCATATCTTTCCTATAATTGAGCCATTGCCACTTATATGTGTAACATATATGAAAATGCTGGGAATTTCGAGTTATTCAATGAAAAAAGATTTGCTCCCTTAAACTTTCTCAGCAGGCAGATTGAGTAAATTGAATACGGGAGGACATTTAATAAGGAAACAATTTAGAGTTGTATGCGTTCTCAATTTTCCTGTTGGCTGATTTTTAAAAACATAAATATTTTTTATGTTGCACAGTAAATAGCATTGTCCGTTTCCACAAATCCGTGGTTCCGGACCACAGTTCATTATATAGGCCTTGTTCTGTATAGAGACCACAAAGGCCTATATAGGTCAATTGGTCGGTATAGAGATCACAGATCTTTATAAAGACCAATTGGTCCGGATAGCGACCACAGTTCAACATATAGGTCAATTGATCTGTATAGAGACCACAGATCTTTATATAGGCCATGTTCAAAAATTATTGGATTAATTCAATATTTAAAAAAAAAAACAGTATGATACCCTTCACCACTTTGGGTATATTCATATTTCCCAAAATCGAAATATATATGGGGACTTTGGTGCACTATTTACCTAAAATCGGGCAAAACTTAGCACACATCATTTTAGACTTAATTCAGTACGCTATGCCAGAATTCATGCAAATCGAATCATTTTCAGGGACTAAAGTCCGTAAATCGGACAAAAATATATATGGGAGCTATATCTAAATCTGAACCGATTTTTCCCAATTTCAATAAGGTTCGTCCTTGGGCCAAACAAGTGAGCTGTGTCAAATTTCAGCCAAATCGGATTATAAATGCGACCTGTACTTTGTTTACAATTTAACATCAACAGACGGACGGACAGACGGACATGCATAAATCAACTCAGAAAGTGATTCTATGCACGTTCTCAAAAGGAACCATGGGTCTATCTCGATTACTTTTGCCTGTTACAAACATATGCACAAAGACATAATACCCTGTACCACTGTGTGGTGAAGGGTATAAAGACCGCCATTTTCCATCCGACTTCTTGAATTTTTTTCTTGCAGAATTGTAATCAGCGTCCTCGAAATATTTATATGCGATATACATACATATATTTATTTTATAAACCCACTGCTTTAATTATGGTCTAAGAATGGGAACTCGGCCTCTTCGTAAAAGTCCCTCTAAGTATTTCTCATTTTATCTTATATTCCAATACAATAAAAAATACTTCAAAACACATTTATTATTCATTATTATTCAATATTATTCAAAATTCAAAATCCAAGTTATTCAATTTAAATAATCCATTATCCTCTTTAAAAATCCAATTCTCTCCGACAATAGTTCCATAAAAAATACAAATACAGCAAATCCACACAAGACCCCATAACCATTGTAGACACCTCGCAATTTATGATTGGTGATTTCTTGTATCCCAGTTGGTGGTACTCCTCCACCACGCTGGTTACCACTCTGTTTTTGCCAACGAACATAGCGTTTGGCAATGTGATCTGTAATGCCAGCATCGGTCAGCAATTTCAATTTTGGATTAATACTCTGCGGCAGCACAGAATATTTACGAAACATCATGACACACTGAAACGAATAGATATCCTCCTCGACATAGGTCAACGAAGTGTTGTGTATATTTTTAGCAATAAAATCAACTAAATAGTCTAGTAGGGCCATGGCGGTTAATTTCTCGCGACTTGAGTTTATCTCGTGCAGCCTCTTGAAGGCATTGCTCATAACTCGGGTCTTATTGCGCGGATAAAAATCATTATATTCGGGTGAGAGAAAAATATAATTGTGCCTAATAAGATCATCAATTGTCCTCGGTACGGGTAGGTGTTTGGCCAATCTCAGACTATCGTACATTTTACCCTGATAAGCATTGCGCAATTCAAAGGTTAACAACAGCCAGGCCATCAGTAGAAATCTGGCGAAATTTCTTTTCGGCACAGCTGCCGACGGTATTGGATAACCTAAAATTGCCATAAACATATTTCGTAACGGCTGTCGATTATGTGGTCCAAATATGAAATTCCATAATGCAACAGTACCGCAACGTTGAACAAGCTGGATCAGTACTATAGCTACAAGCCATTGAATGATGATAAGTATCCATATATTATTATCCAGGGGTTTAAGTAATTGCCTGATTGGTCCAAAACTGAGGCCTCTCTTCACCACGAATACGCCAGGTGTTGTGTGATACACCGAAGAATATGTGAAGTTTATAGTCTCTTTTAGTATGGGACTTAGTCCTCCAATTGCTATTTCCGAAAGATTTTCAGCTAGCTGGAAGAGAAAGGACAAATTGAGATATTAGGTATAACTATTCTGCCTTTATATGGGCCAATTTGGTTGTATAGTGAACACAGCTCTATATAGGGACCACGGGTCTTTATATAGATCACCAATTGGTCTGTATAGAGACCACTGGTCTTTATATAGACCAATTGGTCTGTATAGAGACCACTGGTCTTTATATAGACCAATTGGTCTGTATAGAGACCACTGGTCTTTATATAGACCAATTGGTCTGTATAGAGACCACTGGTCTTTATATAGACCAATTGGTCTGTATAGAGACCACTGGTCTTTATATAGACCAATTGGTCTCTGGTCTTTATATAGAGACCACTGGTCTTTATATAGACCAATTGGTCTGTATAGAGACCACTGGTCTTTATATAGACCAATTGGTCTGTACTGGTCTATATATAGACCAATTGGTCTTTATATAGACCAATTGGTCTGTATAGAGACCACTGGTCTTTATATTGGTCTGTATAGAGACCACTGGTCTTTATATAGACCAATTGGTCTGTATAGAGACCACTGGTCTTTATATAGACCAATTGGTCTGTATAGAGACCACTGGTCTTTATATAGACCAATTGGTCTGTATAGAGACCACTGGTCTTTATATAGACCAATTGGTCTGTATAGAGACCACTGGTCTTTATATAGACCAATTGGTCTGTATAGAGACCACTGGTCTTTATATAGACCAATTGGTCTGTATAGAGACCACTGGTCTTTATATAGACCAATTTATATAGACCAATTGGTCTGTATAGAGACCACTGGTCTTTATATAGACCAATTGGTCTGTATAGAGACCACTGGTCTTTATATAGACCAATTGGTCTGTATAGAGACCACTGGTCTTTATATAGACCAATTGGTCAATTGGTATATAGACAAATTGGTCTATATAGAGACCACAGGTCTTTATGCAGACCAATTGGTCTGTATAGTGACCACAGGTCTTTATAGATACCAGAGGTCTTCATGTGAGCCAATTGTTCTGTTATATAGGGTAATTGGTCGGTTGAGATATATCTTCTGTTCTTTTACTTACATCAGTTAGTGAATCCGTTCGATTCGAATACATATAATTCTTATTCAAGTTCCGTGGGAAACGAAATTTCAAATTCATATTCAATGTATCGGCTACTACTTTCAATATATCTCCCTCGATGCCTCCGATTCGTGATTTCTGACTTAAATGCTCTTCATTCGTGAAATCACCATTAAAACTTAACAAGGGTTCTACCAAATGAGCGCTCACCATAATCGTACATCCGTGATAGTTTCTCAATTGTTTAGGGAATAAATAATCTTCACGTAAACTTCCTTCGACATAGCGATTCACTTCCCTTATGGTTATATCACCCCAACAATGGTAACGACCAAAAGCATAATACGTGTAGAAGCTGATATGACGTTCCCCGGAATAACGATGCATAATGACGGAATTCTTAACCCCAATTTGTAAGCAGACTTTAAATATTTTATACATTTGCTGATGGACATAGAAGGGATCCGCCGTGGAACAGGTCAACAAAATTAAGAAATAAAATTGACGATTTTTCGATGGACCGGGTAGCTGAAGACGGAGGGCTCTGCAAGAAATGCGATTTTAAAATTGTAATATAAGTTTATCGCATGCAAAACCTTACTCAAATGCCTTGGCAGAATCGATGACAAACAGATTAAAATCCCATGGACTAACATTCGGTTTACCAAATTCCAATTGTACACTGATGTCACAACTGAGATTTCGTAAAAAATATTCCAATAGGAAACTGTGATTCTGCTCCTGACAAAACCACCCAGAACACTTTTCCATTATGACCAAGGCATTGGTGCGACTGCTAATGTAATATTTGGTTAGGTTTAAGGCCACTCGGGTGAATTCCATTAATTCTTGGCTAACGAACATATTTTCCATTACAATGGAGTGAAATTCACAATTAACACCCGTGAGTGAGTGGCATATCATTAATAAAACAACCAATTGGCGGACCATCCTTTTTCGTATTGTTTTATTGCAGTTGACTACCGAAGAGAGACTGAAGAAAAGTGCATTTCCATTTCAGCTGCACATTGCCACTGGCGATTTTCTCTTCAGATAAGATGTTATGAATTTTTAATGGTTGATTAAGATCGAAGTTGGTAACAGTGCATCTAGCATGCGTTTAATTTGCTTTAGAACATGAATGTGGTTCATACAACACCACATCGAAATGTTGTTGACCTGCGATTTTTTCTAGAAAACTTTAATTAATCCATGAAGAATCATTATGCGAAGCAGTAAATATGGTAAAGGTATTAAATTATATTAAAAAATGTAGACCCTTCAATTTTTTGTCATCTCAAAAAGAACCTTAATATACGCAAACAGACATATAAAACGAACTTTAGAATGACCAGCAAAAAAATCGTCACGACATAACTCAAAATTTTGACCTTTTGCAAATTTGATCTTCTGAGTTCTTTATATACTTTCATCCCTTAAAGACGTTCCGCTCAACAAAATCTTGTCCAAGAGACTATTTTTGAAACATGAAAAACATTGCTCCGTAATTTATTCCGGTGTTCTATAGGTGGAAATCATGATCTTCTGCTAAAGACCTTCACATACTTTTATAGGATTATGTAATATGGTTTCAGGTCTTCTGAACATTCGAAAGAAGGCCTTCTGGTGAAGATCTGTCAATATTTAGTAGGTCGATTTGACTAATACTGTACTCGGATGTAGGAGTTGGGCTAAAATATTTACTGGTGTTCTTATATTGTTCGCTATTACCATTACCACACTAGAGGGCGAAAATTTTGTTCTGATAGCTGTCCAACTTTGCATAAAGTTTCGGTTAAGGTCAAGTGCGACATCTATAGCTTTTTATAGTGATTAAATGCACCGAAAAAGTTATTTTTGACAGTTTTTCAAGTCTGATTTTCCAGACTCTGGCATTTTACCCTCATTTTCACACAAATTACTCTCAAAGAGAGCACGCGTGTGGGTGTTTGCTTGATGCAGATCTAGAGCCTAAATAGCTGCTCTCTGCCTGAACCTGCTCTAGAGGCGCATCAGGCATATCCTTGCACGCTTGCTCTCTTTGAAAGTAATTTGTATGAAAAAGAGTGAAAGATGCTGATCTGTTCCTGAGCCTGTTCTACAGGCCACATTAATAACCCGAACATCAATAAGATTTAAACCATTATTGAGCAGAACTAAATTGAGAGTAAGTGTGTGAGAGCGTAACTGAGAAATCATCAAAAATGAGTGACAAAAAAATAATTAACTATCCTTGTACAAAATTTCAGTCACAACCACGGGAAAATCAGGCAAAACCCTTCAAAATACAAGCAATGTATATATGACAGCCTTTAAGGAACCTTTATACCAAATTACAGCCAAATAGGTGGAAAAATTAGGCTAAAGTCTTCAAATACCGAAAATGGAATATCGTTTTTTTTTTCAAAACTGTTGTTATTAGTTTTATTTATGGCGGTACCGAGTTATATAAAATCTTTGACTATCTTGATGCTAAAAATTTCAAATTCCACAGTTGATCGGAGTCTACTAGACTTTTTGCGCGTTGATACCATCAGTTTGGACTTCTCGTCATACTTTGGCAGACTCCTTCACAATTTATTTAAAAGTGGCTGTTACCGCTCGCAATGTTTAACTCATTATGTCAATGTCATCGGTCATTTCTGTTCACCTTTGCCTCTCGTATGACCTTTTCCTCCAGGATATTAAAAAGATCACACAACAAATCCTCGAATCCTCGTTCGGTATTGAAGGGCTTCGATAGGTCCTTTCATACTTTAACTGCTGATCTTGTACCACTTAAAGTTATCCTGCATAGCCGTATTAATTTTGCAGCAATGCCGAACGTAGACATGGCTGCTATCGGATGCGGCTTTTTAGTCGACGAATAGGTGGAATATATCGATGTATTTTTCATGGGTCTTTTCCAGGATTTAACGCATAATAAAAATCTGGTCAATGGTGGATTTGCCAGGTCGGAAGCTACATTGGTATGGTCCAGTCGTTCACACTTTATATGCGATTGGAATGAGATTAATAACTCTATAGTTGTCATATATCGCCTTGTCTCCTTTTTTGTGCACGGGACACAGGATGTTGAGGTTTCAATCATTGGGCATGCATTTAGCCAAATTGTGCTAATCATCTGGTGCATGCTTCTGACCATCATCTGACCACCGGTCTTGAATAGTTTGGTTGGTAATCCATCGCCACCTGCTGCTTTATTATTCTTCAGCCGATTAATTGCTATTCTGACCTCATCTTGGCTAGGTGGTATACACTCTATACCCTCATCTCTTATTAATTCTAGGGTTGTCTTCTTCACCGCCACTATTTGATACCAGAAGCTTTGCAAAATGCTCCTTCCAGATCCTCAACACGCTATCTGTCTCTGTCACAACGTTGCTATCTTCATCTCAACAGGAGGTTGTGCCTGCACCAAAGACTTCGATTTGGTGTTTTACTCGTGGGTAAAATTTCCGGATTTTCCGTTCTGACTCCTGTACATCTCGATTAGCGTTTTTATTGTTCTTTCTTCTGAAAGGGCGTTTCTCCTTTTCTCCAGATAATTCTCGTTCGCATTACGTGTTGCTACTGTCTGTTATTCTTTGCCATTATATTTCTATATTTTTATCGGGACAATGAGTACTTCCGTCAAGCTTATGGGTAAGTTGAGCGGAGTAGGCTTCTGCTACCTTTTGTGTTTGCATCTTTTCGAGATGCTTGAATCTGGTGCTTTTAACTACCATGTTTTTTACTGCAGTGAAGTCGATCAACCTCATGCCGTTGTCGGATGTTTCTTCAAGGAGGCTGAATTTTATCGGGGGCCAAAAATATTTTACTTCCGATTTTTGTATAAAATCTCTTAGCAGACTTTCAATGTCGTCTTTGTCTTCCGTCGGAGCATGGGCGCAATGATGATGTAGCAGAACTTCGCTTTTTTTTGCGGATTATAGCAATTCCCTCATCTACTGTAGTGAATCTGTAGACGAGGTATTTTATTCTACTGCTAACCATAAATCAGCAGCCAAATTCATGCCAGCTTAATACAGGGCGTAATCATCTGATTTACTTACGCCAGTCCCTTTCCCTCGCATTTCCTGTAAGGCAATAATATCGGCTTTGTACTTCTTGAGTATATCCGTTAAAGTGAAAACTGCGTCTGTTCTGTACAACGTGCGAATATTCAAAGTGAAGATTCGCAGGTCGTGGTCCTTTATACTTTATTGAGGGTCGTCTACATTAGGGGGTTTTGTCCGTGTCCGTCGGTCCATGTTAAATTGTACACAAAGTGCAGGTATGAACCTTATTAAAATTGTTCGGTTCATATTTAGATATAGCTCCCATATATATTTTCGTCCAATTTGATGTAAATGGTGCACCAAACTCTTAATGTTTTTCCGATTGACACGAAATTTTGCACAATATAAAAAATTGAGACTAGAATGACGTTATAGCCTTTTGTTGAAATTTGCGCAGATGCAGACATAGCTTCCATAAATATTTCGAATGGGTGTCTGATTGATGTTTTAACAGTGCGACATACCGAATAGCGTATATCATGTTTGCTATAAATCGATTTCCATAAACGACTTTAAACGGCATTTACATTAGAACTTTTTACCGGTTTAACTTGCTTTATGAGAATTTATTTAGTATATATTCAAAGGAGTTGACAATTAAAACCCACTGGGTTAACGAAATCCAGTACAATGTAAACGTACTATTAAATCTGCCCGAATGAAATTAAATTTAGCATAGGTTGCAGAAAGGCATGTTTATGTATTGATGTTATTCGGTTCACTTATATATAAAGATCACATATTTAAGTTCGTTCGAGGGAACATTGTCATGAAATGGTTAGGATACTTATGTACAATATACCCACAGTGGTGAAGGGTATCATATAGCCTGTCCAGTCCGACTTTATTACTTTCCTTACTGGTTTTCTATTAAAATAATAAGAAACACCTAATCATTTAGCATTTTGATGCTATTATCCATTATGAGGCAAAGTCCATTCCCGTAACAAACATTACATGACATTTAAGCGTATCTTATATGTTTTTAACAAAATTGCTTAGACTAAACCACCCTTAAGAGATATTCAAATGTCATTTCTCATAACGGATGTTTGTGCTTATAAACACCCTTTGTTTGGTATGCAGCGAAGCATTAGCCCAACTCATGCGAACGGGTGTGTATGTGTGTGTGCAATACAACAATTCTGCTGACATGCGCATATTTTACCGCTATAAACAATTCTCAATCTCTCTTCCGCTCTCTTCGAATATTTTGAGAAATTCTCACAAGACAATGTTGCCAATATTATTTCTTCCTGCTGGCTTTCACAAAATGCGGTGCCCAGTAATTTCACTCAAAAACATAAATTAACAGCAGCAACAACAACAACACGATGAGAAGGAGGAAGCCAAAATATGATTGGGAACCGTTGTGTTTAGTTCAGTTGTCAAACTCATTGTGGCGAGAACGGTTGCAAACGAAAAACGGATCGTAAACAAAATTTGAAAAGAAAATACCGCTAAATACTACAGTGTAACGGCAGAATAACGTTTGTCGTCGTCGTGGTGGTGGTGGTGGTCGTAGTATTAGCCCCCCAAATATATCGAATATATGTTGTATGTATGTTGAGCTGTGTATGTGTGTATACATGAAAAATATTAAAGAAGCAAAGAACCACAAAAAAGGGAAACAAATTAAGAGCAAAGTTAAAGATACAACAGACAGACTGTCAGTCAGGTATTCCAAAGAAGGCAGACCCCGTGGAGTTATTACTTTTTTGGGATTCATAAGGCAAAAGGAGAGAAATAAATTACAATGTGTGTTAAAAATTTGTGAATTTTTCAAATAACAAATATGCAAATTATAAAAATAAATAATTTGTGAAAAATCATAAATACTTCTTAAGCAGCAGTTAATGCCAAAAAAAAGTTTCCTTTTGCCCCTCATCATATTTTGTCGTCGCTGAAGAATATTTTTTTTCGCCAATGTGACCTGCCAATCAACATCATAGCCATAGGCGACAAGACAAGAGCGGGAGGTTCATCGTTCAACGCATTGTCTAGCCTCCCTCTGTATATTACCGCGTAATATTGGGCAATAATCTACCGAAAAAAGAAGAAGAATAAGAAGCAAACAAAACGCCAAGTGATGAAACAAGTGAAAATATTTATGGATCCTGTCTGTCCGGGTTTTTATGTATAATTTAGTGTGTTTCCAATTTTAAAAATAACCGCATACGTTTCGGTAGATGGTAGAGATCTTCTTCAAATACAGAGGCTGTGGCGGTACCAAAAGTGCTAGTGAAAAATATAATCATATATATATATATACGAGCGATTTAAAGAAAATACAAACCATAACAACAAAAACAACAACAATGTGAAATAATTATTTTTGATGTCTGCTGCCTACGACGGCAGATTTTTGTTAAGTTGCCATCAAATAATATGCTACTGTGAGCGTCAAATAAAAGTAAACATATGGATTTATTAACGAAAGATTCAAATGAATGGAGGAAGTATTAAATAAGATGTTGAATTACTGAGTTCAGTTTGGGAGTTCCGAAGTCAGTTGAAATTTCAAACCCCCTGCATTTAAAGCTTTTAAAATATCTATATTCGGGTCTTATCGGAATACAGTGTGAAAACCGATAGAAGATCGTCTAGAAATTGAGATTCGCCCCAGACTTAAAGGAAGAGAGTCTTTATAGACTATCTGACTGGACAAAAGAGACTAAGGCGACAGTGAAAAATTAAACAAATAAAAAAGTGTCAGTCGGTGTTGGCGAGGTATTCGGAATTACACACAGATTGTTGTTGTTGTAGCAACAAAATACATGTAATGAGTTATTGATTGTCTGCTTCTGCTTTTTCTACCTCCAAATTGAAAAATGTTGCAACTTTAACGGGTGAATTCGGCGATATGTGTCCATAGTGAATTCGGTAGGACAAGTGTTAATTATCGAGCCGTCAATTCTTGTCCAATAGGAATTGATTCGGTTGCACCATCCTGATCTAAGTTGAGCTAAGACTACTCGTGTTTGTCGGGGGAACTGCTTCTCCTCTGCTCCGATGGATGGGGATGGTTTCCGATTATGGTATTCAGAGGATTATGGTAGGACAAGTGTTAATTTGGAGGTCAATTTATATCAATAGGAATTGATTCAGTTTCTCTCTCTGATCTAAGAATAAGACTACTCGTGTTTGTCGGGGGAACTGCTTCTCCTCTGCTCCGATGGATGGGGATGGTTTCCGATTATGGTATTCACACCATATTGCTCTACTGCTTGAGTGACTGTGTCCGTGTGAATACCATGCAGACCTTCTTTATAAGCTTCTTGATTTGGAGGTTCATATTTATATTTTTGGACCTCTCTCTTTCTCTAGATCACGAAAATCTTCCCTGACGTGCCTGGGCGGGAGAGTTCTGTCCATAAGACTATGACAGGCGCGACGATAACACTCAAACAAGTTACATATTGACAAAACATAATTGTGTTGATGACCGGTCTATTGCTTTATAAGAGGTCAATAAGGTTTCTTTGTCAGCGCCCAAGTGCTGCCGGCTAGCAACTTGAGCGGCTTCTCTATTGCTTTATAAGCATAAAATATGGTTTGTCAGCGCTTGAAAAGGCTGTCGAAAGTTAGCAACTATGTAGGGTAGTCTAACTATACTTTATACTGGGATGAAAGAAATTTACGAGATCAGCTATGTTGATGTTTAACCTCTCACAAATGTCATCAATAATGGGACTCGATGCCATGATCGTACAATCATCCGCGATCGTACAATCTTTCCAGACATCTGTATGGGTTTTGGATTTGTAGACTGGGATATTTATTAGGAATCCGTAATGCCAAATTAAGGTCACTTCTGTGGAAAAATCTACGAAGTACCGAAAAAAGAAGTCGCGAGGTGATAAATCGGTTCTAAATGACAAATTTAATATAAAAGTAAAGTCAATGACCCCATCACCCGAAATATCTAGGTCAATGACAAACCCTACCCTAAATATAGCACCAAGCCTAAAATGTTAACATTTTCACATTTCAAGATCCCAATCAGAAAAGACACGATGTTGTTAAAATTCGTGCTAACAGAACTACGCGGACTTCCTACATCAATCTAAATTTCACATTCGACTGGCGCCCAACGGTTCGTTAACTCATTGAAATCTCTTATTTACTGAAAATCAACAGAATCTAATTCGTCTCAACAGAATCTTATTCAGTAGTAAATTCAATAGAGGCATTTCAAAATAAAAATTCAGTGTAACAAGGCGGATGCACACCAATGACTAATATCGAATTGATAGAGGCATTTCAAAAAAAAATCTGTTATGTTTCTGTCTTATACACATAGACTTATGACTCTAAACCTGTGACCATTTTATATCCGCCTTTTGCAGAACCGCAATGGTATTGTTTTTCAAATATCTTTGCGATTATCAAGTAGTTTAAAATTCAATAGGAACAGACCTATTTAACGCCTCTATGTTCAAGCAAAGTCGAATGTATCTTCAAAGACTAACACGTTCGATGGTGTTATGTTTCTGTCTTATACAGTTTTTCACAAATAAAAAACCCTTCATGTTAATGAGAATATTACGATCGGTTAACTTCAAATTATTACACTTGCCATATGTTTACCATTTATTGACGCTCACAGTATATCTCAAGCACCGAGAAAATATTACAAGGAAAAAAATACCCAACAACAAAAAGTAAAATAACAAAGCAAACAAAACGAATTTTTGGGTTAAATAAATTAAAAGAAAATATAATATTTCATAATAGTGTAATTTTTTTTAAATAATTTTAGTGAAAATTAAAAAAACAAACCAACTAAACAACAAAAAGAAACAGCAGCAGCAACCAATAAACGTACAATTAATCTCCTTATCCTGCATCCAAACAACGAGACTGGTTTTCTTCTAACAACTCCAGTTATTTAGAAAATATCAAGGTAAGAACAAAACCTCCAAAAGAAATCCTTGTATTCCCCTTTTTTCTGCAAAAAAAAAAAAAAAAAAAAAAACATTGACTGACGTCTATTATCTCCTTGGATTTTCGTTTCGTTTTGGCAATAACCAGTGTCATTTTATTGTTTTTGTTATTCCCGTTAAACCAGCTGTTTTGTATTGTGCGCTCACCACTCTTTACATCCCTTCATGCGAGAGTTGCAAATACGGCGTACAGACACACTCTCTCTGCGCTCTCTTGGTAATAAATGTTCCACATGTTCTCCCCCATTTAGTCTTTTAATATGCTTTTTAAACAGCCACCAACCCACCTACTCACCCACAATGCGTTTTTGTTTTGAGTCTTGCATTGAGAACAAGAAGAAGATAAAAATGTTACACACACACGCACACAATGCCATCATCATTGCCACGCATTGTTTTTGTTTGCATCTCCTCCAAAAAAGTCGGGGTTTTTTATCATTACAAAAAATACAGGGTGTCTTTAAAAAAGGAAACGCGTTAAAGTGGTTGTAATTTGTTGCTGTTGTTTTGTTTAGATTTGTAAAGTAAATCCTCTGAACGGATGGATTATCAACCCCAAATTTTACTGCAGTTTTTTTAGAATGGTAGTCCTCAATTTGTATTTTGAAGGCAAACATGAATTAATGCATGGTGGAAGGTTTGTTCATCCCTACGCTAGTAATGGAAATCAGCTGTTTAAATCTGTAAGCAATGTGTAATGAACAATAAACTTTTTAGAGGATAAATTATGTCCTCCTTATATCCACAAAAAAGGTGACGTAGGGTTGTGTAACCCAACGTCACATTTTTATGTAAAAATCATAGGGTTTTCAATATAATTTGATGGTCCGAAATACATCGGACCCTTAGGGTTCTTACATGATGACATATAGCTATGTAGAAGATGAGCAAGGTTGCTTTATACTTTGACATAGCCGCCATAAAAGTCCATTCCAATGGTTGATACTTTGAAGATTTTAGCCGCATTTCCAACCGAAGTGTCCGTAATTTGGAATTTCGGAGAGTAACACAAATATTAACAAAATGTTCAATATAGATTAGAGGCGTGCCGAGAGGAAATGCTCGGAGAGTAAATGAGAAACCACCATATTAAATGACTTACTAAAAGAGAATGAGCTTATTGATACATGTAAACAAGTGCACCAGATCCCACAGCACAGCACTAATATACATTCATTTTTTAAGGTAGCTCCCATATAAAGGCCCAGCTGAATATTTTTCAATTATAAAGGTTTAAGCCGAATTTCCCCAACTAAATGGCAGTAAGTTGGAAATTCGTGTTCATGCAGAATAACAAACATCTTTGCAGTAATTTTTTATGCAAGTTCAAGTTCGCATATTAAAGCTCCGCCCCATTCATATAGCTCATAGTACAAAATTTGGAAGATTTTGGTCCTATATTCTCATCGAACTAGCAGCAATTTAACATGCTCAGCATTTCTAATTTGAAAGACCATATTCCGAGATGTAATCCTCCACTTGATCTTTTCATCGAATTCGTGGCTTTCCCTTTCGCGTGATCCATTATTTGGCTCGCTTTTAACTGGGGTATCCTCATCCATTCGCACAACATGACCTAGCCACAGTAGTCGCTGCAGCTCGATACGTCTGACTATTTCGATGTCCGAGTATGGATGGTACAACTCGTCGTGGTTCATTCGACGACGATATTCACCGTCAACGTAGGTCGGCCCATACATCTTCCGGATAATTTTTCTCTCAAACACTACAAGTGCTGCCTCATCTGCTTGCGCAATTACACATGCTTCAGATCCATAAACCAGCACTGGTAGTATCAGCGTCTTGTAGAGTGTGAGTTTAGTCTGGCAAGAGGTGACATGCTTTTGAGTTGCTTACTTAGACCGTTGTAGCATCTATTGGCCAACACTATCCTTCTCCGAATTTCAAAACTGATGTCATTAGTTGTATTTATGGCGGTATCGATGTATGTAAAATTTTTGACTACCTCGAAGCTGTAGTTTTCAAGTTCCACAGTTGGTCCGAGTCTACTGGACATCTTGCTCGTTGATACCATCAGCTTGGTCTTCTCGCCATTTACTGCCAGACCCATCTTGGCAGACTCCTTCTCAATTTTTGAGCTTACCCCTCGCAATGTTCGTCCATTATGTCGATGTCATCGGCGTAGGCGAATAAAATATGCAGAGAGCCATTTCTGTTCACCTTTGACCTTTTCCCGCAGGATGTTAAACAGGTCACAAACTGTCACCTTTTTTGAATGCTCGTTCGGTGTTGAAGGGCTCCGAGAGGTCCTTTCCGACATTAATGTTATCCTGCATAGACGTATTAATTATGCAGGAAATCCGAACGCAAAAATAACTCTAAACACCTGAGTGAATTGGCTTTATAGCCTACGAATAGGTGGAATGTGTCGATGAATTTTTGTGGGTCTCTTCCAGGATTTGGCGCGGTGTATTGTGGATTTGTCAGGTCTGAAGCCGCATTGGTATGGTCAAATAATAACACGCTGAATAACACTTTATATGCGATGGGGAGGAGACTAATTCCTCTATAGTTGGCACATATCGTGTTGTCTCTTTTTTAGTGCACGGGATGCTGAGGTTCCAATCGTTGGACATGCATTGCTATAGCCAAATTGTACTAATCCGCCGATTAAATTTGATTTCTCGTTGTTTGATCAGGAGAAATCCACGTGGCCTTGTTATATCGAGATGTTCGAACCTAGTGCTGTTAACTACCATGTTTTTTGCTGCCGCGAAATCAATCAATCTCATGCCGTTGTCTGATATTTCTTCATGGAGGCTGTGGGGCCAAAAATATTTTTCTTCCGATTTTTGCATTAAAATCTCCTAGCAGAATGTTAATGTCATTGCCAGGGCAGCGGTCATTTCCTGTTTCTAGGCGCTCGTAAAATATGTCTTTGGTCTGCTCATATTTGTCTTCGGTCGGACATGGGCGCAAATAAGACTGATGTAGAAGTAATCCGCTTTTATACGGGTTATAGCAATTCGCTCATCTACTGGAGTAAATCTGGAGACAAGGTCTTTTATTCTCCTGTTAACCATAAATCCACAGCCAAATTCACGCCTCGTTTCATGGCAGCAGGGCGTAATCATCTGATTTACTTACGCCTGCCCTTTCCATCGCATTTCCTGTAAGGCAATAATATCGGCTTTGTACTTCTTGAGTACATCCGCCAAAGCGAAAATTGCATCTGTTCTGTACTTCGTGCGCATATTCCAAGAGCAGATTTGCAGATCGTGGTTCTTTATAATTTTGCGGGCGTCGTCAACAGCAAAAAATTGATCACGCCACAATTGAACAACTTCAACCTATGGCGAATTTTACCTTCTGGATTCTTTGTATAGTCGCAAAGGGTGTTCGTAGTCAGTCCACACGTTTGTTCATTTCCATAAGGAATTTTCCTTCCGCCAAAATCTGGTTGTACAGTGTCATTATCCATTTCTTTGGATTGAATTTCCAATTTAGAATTTATTATTCAATTCAATACACCTTCAATTTAATACATTTCGTGCCACCCTAATATTACAGACGCCTAATTACATGGCATGTAAATCAAATGTCTGAGAAATAACCTTGGTTTTGTGTCAAAGAAAAACTAAAACAAACTCACACACAAGCACACACATGCATACAAACAACTTAACGGGAATTATTTTAACACCCAAAAGGAAACTGTCAAAACACCAACGGAAATGTCAAACAGAACAAAAAAAATAACTTAAGTGAAACTAGAGCAGCAGAAACAGTAACATTGAGTACCCGTTCAAGTCCTTTCAAGCACATTGCAAATATTTGCACTCTTTTTCTTCTTCTACTTGTTTTTTTTATTCCTTGTAACATAAACATAATTTAGAAAATTATTTATATGAAATGCTATACAGCGGGCAGAGGGGGAGAGAGTGTTTTTGGTATATAAACATAGTTAAGTTGCTGTCTAACTGTCAATATTCAATTGTACATTCCTGCCGAAAGTAGTTCAAGGTTATTTTCATTGCATTTCACATTATCTGTAACAGTTTCTTTTATTTATCCCAAAAAAGGACAGCAACATCAACAACAACAACTATTTTCCAATGTCGTCATCATGGCTGTTAGGCTCCCTCTCCCTGATGTCGGTATGCACGTTTGTGTGTAGCATATAACGAATGTTGCAACATAACGATGGCGATGGATGTTGCTGTTGTTGTTTTAAAATTTTTAAGTGCATTTCCGGTACATAACCACCCCCTTATCTACTCCCATTCAAACTGTGGTTTGTTATGTTTTCCCCAAAGAGTGTTGACGGCAGTTGAGCTTTATTTGAGTATGAGAGAGAGAGAGTGAGTGTAAGAGGAGATAATTTGGAGAGTCAGAGCAAATGAGTTCGTTGGAGTTTATTTGCAATTGAATATTTCGAGTGATTTTAAGTGTGTGTGTGTGTTGCCATATGTGTGACGTTTGTTTATATGAAATTTGAAGCTATAAAATTTTAAAATGTTTATTTTGTTAAAACAGAAAATAAAAAATAAACATTTTGCTTTTTTTATTGAACGTGTTGACCAATACATGTATGTACTGTATTGTTTATCTGTAATTTCAGTGGAATAAAAAAAATCACTCGTTTCCATTTGAAGAAGAAAAACAAAAAACATCCATTAGTAAACATAGAATAAGGAAATCATAGACGGGGGTATTGGAACCATCTGATCTAAATTAACAAAAGTTTCTAGATGGAACAAATAGGGAGAAGTACAGTACATTATATTGAAGGCTTGTAACTTTGCATATACAGTGGTGGTCATAGAATTAAAACATTTACTATGGTAAACATGTTTTGATCAGCTCTCGATTCGTTTGAAGTATTTTTGAAAATTTTTGAATTCAGAACACTTCGATATACAGCACTTAAGAGATTTAGTGTGAAAATGGAAAATTATTGCATGTAATTTTTCTATAAATAACGGTTTTTATGAAAATA